TCGGTATTTGTTAATGCCTCATGGCAGTTCGCAAAGTGCTTTGTTGTAATGGGTTTGCGTGTGTTTGGGCACACATACAGGCCTCACCATGGGCTCGGCCCATTGTCCTCCCCGACCCGCTACCTAGAGCCGGTTTGCAAGTCGTGGGTTTATCGCACGTCATGGTAGGTGCAACTTCATTGCACACCTAAGTGTGCTTGAGTCTTTTGGATGAGTCTTTCTGAGGCTTGTTCCGATTTGGGTGCTTTCCGGTCTTGATGGTCCATGGATTTATCGTGGTTTTGCTTAATGCATTGCGGGTTCATTGTGAAGATAGCGACAGATCGTATCGTAACTGTAGGCTTCTCATGAGTGCTTTTGTGGTATTACTCTCTTTGTCCGAGCGTTCTTTGAAAGCCTGTGTGAGCTATACATACCTACACCTAAAAATTTTTCGTTTATGAAGTGTGACTCTTCCATGTGTAGAAATGTAGAAATTGTTGTACAGGTTGTTTGCCACAAGTGGCTGAAGCTCTCTATGATTTTAGTTAATTATTTTTCATAGGTAAGTGATTCAATATTAAAATTTTTGAGTTTTAGCTTTTATACATTATTTGTGTTTGATTCAAAGTTTTGTAGTTGTGAAGTGTATTTATAATTGATTCAAAGATTTTAATTGTCAAGTTCAATTTCTCTCTATGTTTGATTCATTCTTTTAGGCTCAGTTTGAAAAGAGTACACATATGATTCAAAGTTTTGTAGTTGTGAAGTGTATTTATAATTGATTCAAAGATTTTAATTGTCAAGTTCAATTTCTCTCCATGTCTGATTCATTCTTTTAGGCTCGGTTTGAAAAGAGTACACATACAAATATGTATAGTACAAATACATAGAAAATAATACAAAATACAAAGTTTTGCATTCTACATATTTCTATTTGTACTTTTTCCAAACTAAGCCTTAAGTTAATTAATAAAATTAATACAAATTTATTAATAAATATTAAAAATTTTGAGTTTCATCTAAAAATAATTAAGTTAACAAAAAATATTAATAAAAATAATTTTATAAATAAAATATACAATAATGTTTAATAAAAATTGAAATCAATTTAAAAATAAATAACATTAATAAGTTTTAAAATTATTTAATAAAGCATTATAAAAGCGTAAAAAAATTGTTTCTCTCACTCGGGGAGTTAGGGTGTAATGTGAAATTAGATTGGTTCAACATAAATGGCCAAGAAATTTTCTCCTTTCTTTGAATTTTTTATTTTTTTATTCCATATCATTTTTTAAAGAACCTATGAGATGCTCTTATTCCTCATGGAAATTTATCTAAAATCTCTCTCTCTTACCCATATGTTCCCAACAATCTCCTCTCCTAAATTTTATCCTAAACTACCTCCCCCACTTTCTCCTAAATCATCTCTAATTCCTATCTATCTCCTAACTTATCTCTAATTTACTAGAGCATTTCTCTCCAAATTATCTCTAATAAACTTTAAAATAATTATTAAAAACACAAAAAAAATAACTATCCAATCCTTTCTCCAATAAAAAAAAAATTAACAAAATTATAAATTTATATCTATTATGTATCTAAAAAAAGGGATAAGTAGACTATACTCCACCTCAGAATTCTGAATTAAACTACAAACCTATAACAATTCAAAATTATAAACACCTCCACTAGTAACACCCATACCTGCTCGTGAATAGGCATCAAATCCGAGCTGGCATTACCCCAACTATACAGTGGAGCTAGGATTTCTGAGGGTGGATTGAACATTAAACACACCCCCCCCCCCCCCCCAAAAAAAAAAAAAAAAAAAAACCTCTATCATTTCATTCTGATATTAAATCCAGCCTGAAATTCGAAAGAAACTATTGGAGCAATTAAGAGGATTTCAATGTTATATTTAAAAAATTAATTAAATCATAATTAATAATTAAATGAAATTCTTTTTTGAAATTAACTGATGGAATGTATTTGCCATAAAGTGAAGAACAGAATCTTCGGCATCAATGTTCAAAGAACCGGAGAAGGGGGGAGAGGTCCATGGGTTAGAGGTTCGACTAGGGTTGAATCGGAGGTCGAACTATGATGATGTGGCATATATATATATACCATGGGTCATATAACTACTATATATATATATTACAAAATTTAATGTACTTAAATATAGTGGAGGAGGTTCAAAGTATCAACACGTATTGGGCCATATCAGGAGCTTCCCAATACGCCCCTATAGAGGGTGTATCAGGGTTTCGACTAGTTCAGTGGTGGACAGACCTTAAACTACTCCTCTGAACTAGATTTGGAAAAAAAAACTAAAAAAAGTAAAAAAAAAAAACTGTCGGTACTGCTCGATACGCCTCTATCGGCACATCGGGCATATCGGTATTTTGAACCTTGATGGTGGATGGATGGTAAGCTTCTTAATTTTTAAAACAAGTGACTAGGGTTCAAGCCTTTTAACTTATATTTTCTTTAAAATACGTGCATAATAATGTAATATGTACAATAAATAGTCATTACTTAGCATAAGTAAAGAAGTGGAATAGTGGTAATTAAGTAATATGTGAAAATAAAAGGCCTTGGGTTCAAAACTTGTTAACAATAGTTTATAATTTAATGTATGTATGGACCCGGACAATTTCATGAAATTGAGACTCGTTCATATGTTTTTTGGTTAAACTGACCAGTCAGCCGAATTTCAGTGGATTTTAGGCAAATCCGATTATTGGGGTATGACTGAATCGGTTAGTGCCTCAGTCATGGTTCAACCGGCTGGTCCTATCCAACTTCCTAAACACTATTTTCCTATTCGACATCATAGCTTTTCGCTTTTAGGATTTTTACTATTCAGTCCACCCCTAGAAATCTTAGCTCGACTGTATAGTTGGGATGAATCATGATTGTGGATTGATACCAAATTTACGAATAGGATGTGGTTTATATGGGGCTACTAGTAGATTAGAGGTGGCATATTTCTGAGGTGGAGTGCAGTTTATTTATCACTTCGCTTTTTTCAATTAAAGGTGAACGCCAATGCGGGTCCCATTGAAATAAAGACAATACACATAGGTCCCTTTAAAATAAAATTGTAGCCCTACCACCTTGAATTAGATGAAGTGATGTTAAGGTAGGGCCACACACTCCTCACACAGGGCACCTCACACCAACCTCACACGCACATCCTACCATGCATTGGGAACATCTCCTGTACTTATAAGTTATTATTGAGATCGAATTTACTCCTCACATAGGGAACCTCGCACCGACCTCACACGCACATCCTCCCATGCATTGGGAACATCTCCCATACTTATAAGTTATTATTCACCAGAGATGTTCCCAATGCATGGTGGATGTGCCTGTAAGGCGCCCATGTGTGAGGAGCAGATCCCATTTCGTTATTATTTACAGGTGAGGAGCACCTGGATTGCTTGAGAGACCTACAATCAAAGGTAACCAAGCTTGAATTTCCTAGCTTTTGACTCGAGCTCAAGTCTCTAATTCGAATCGAACTTGAACCTGATAGTTTATGAGTGAGCCCCTGCAACGCTGGTCCCCCTCCGCTAGTATATATATTATTATTGAATGGGTGCTTTCCCCATTCAGAAAACGGAATCTACTCGTACGAGTAGATTTTGCATTTCACATGCAAACATTTTGTATGTGTGAATCCCCTGCTGTTGCGAAGCGGCAAATCCTTCGAGGGAGAACGGTGGGTTCAGCTACTACAACCGAGCTGTCCTCTTACTGCAATCACCGCGTCAGTTGAGCCGCATCCTCTACCCAAGGAAGAAGATGTTGCCGGTGTTGCATTAGCTTCATTTGCTCCGTTGGCCTCGCCGTTGTCTTCCTGTGGCTCAACTTACACATCGACCATCTCAACTACATCCAAAACTTTCAGGTCCCAGCCCTCAATCTAACCACTCATGACCATACAATTCCATTCCAGCCCCTTAGAAGTAGGGGCCTCTCCACTATTTATTCATTAATCTATCTTGTTTGATTTTCCACACTAAAATTCATCATCAATGATGCCAAAAGTTGAAAGTCAACAATCCAACGGCTTGGATCACCTAACCATTACATAAAAAGACAGCGTGAGAAACATTACATCGGTAATAATTTGGTGATGTGGGTGGTGTTCGGCACCATGTTCATCTCCAGTCCCATCCACACCCTGATTTCTCATCCACAACAAAAACTCGTGGTTAGGGCCCATCCACACTATTTTTGATCCCCTACTTCACACTCTTCCTGAAAGGCTGAAAGTATGAAACCATATTGTTTGTTTCACATTTTAATATTTTTGTCAATAAAATGTTAATTATTTTACTTAATTTTTTAAATTTTTGTAAACTTTTAATATTTTTATCAATAAAATAATATTTTTAAATATTTAAAATACATTTTCTAAAATTTTAATTATTTTACTATTGTTTTTATAAAAAACTTAATATTTATTGGTTAATATTAATTCATTGATGCATTTTTCAATATATTTATCATATAAAATATAAAAAGTAGATATTTATGATTAACTGTGTAGATCGAGGTTTTTGAACTGCCGTTGACTCGGACAGTTGGATTGTTCAACCTAGGAACCATCCAGGCAAACGGTTCCGTTTTATCCCAAACTCGGTTTTTGGCCAAAAATCATTGGAAAAGTCAACAACCAGTTGACTCATGTGGTTGAACCGTTGACCTGTTCAACGGTTTTGACCGTTTTTTATTTGTTTGTTAGAACAGGCCGTCCGTTTGAACTGGATGATTAGACTGTTGACTAAGAAATCGATGACCAGAATAGTTCTGTTTCCGGATCGTTTTTTAAAACGTTGGTGCATATCATTGAATCAAAAACCACGCTTATAGAACGCCAATATAGATATGGACTGGTCCATACTTTTTTCCACACAATTTATCCACAATTAAAAAAATCATAGTGTCATGTGGATTGGTCCATACCACATGGTGTGTTTCTCATCCCACATGTTGTTTTCATCATCGAAGGACCCCGTTGCCGTGGTATCTCTCTGTCGTGGTTCACTGTTTTGCTTTTGTTCGCTCCACGTAGAAGTGCCAAAAGGCGGATTTGCATTGCTCAGACAAGCAAACGAGGTCGAAGGGAGAAGAGGTGATTTGCAGAGTAAAAATGGCGAAGGGAGAAGAGGTGCGAAACAAGCAGGTTCTACTAAGGGACTACATCGCTGGCTTCCCGAAAGAGACGGACATGATCATGAGAACCGGTAGTATCCAGTTGAAGGTGCGCGAAAGCTCCAAGGTGGTTTTGGTGAATTCTATTGGTGAACAACTGAACATTGCGGGAATAGAATGTCCTTTTCTTCTTAGTATTCAATTATTTATTTTCTGGTTTTGAAACTTTCAATTCAACTACAAACATGATGAAGCATCCTAGATAAAATAATGAAAATTGATTATATTAGGACAAAATAGGCCCCTTCCAATTTGGGACGACAATGCAAGTCACTGTAAATGTTACCAGGGTTTTGTAAAATCCACCGAATGGAGTCAGTTTATCTAGATTCAAGATCAGACATATTTTTGATTGGTTACCTGGGAGAATTGAATAGTCGATGAAATTTGGGAAAGCAAATTACAACTAAATCTTTGTGAACTTGTATAGAACTTTTAAGAAGAAAATTCGTACTTGAAAGTAATCTTCTATTTCTATTTTGAACCATTCGGGTTTCATTTGGGGCTTGTTGACAACGTGCAGCCTATAACTGGACTTGGTGTGTCTAAAGTTTTGGATTCTGATCATCCAGACTTCAAAGAAGGTGATTTTGTTTGGGGGTCAACTGGATGGGAAGAGTACAGCCTCATCACAACGCCAGAATCTCTGTTTAAAATTCACCACACCGACGTTCCTCTTTCTTATTACACAGGAATTCTTGGTAATCTTTTTAACTCTGTTAGCTCTACATGTTTGTTGGTTGATGTTAAGCAAATATAAAACAAAATTTGAACAGAGTTGTTTTGATGAGGTTTGACCTTTGCAATAATGTTGATGATATCGGTATGGGAATTCATGTAAACTGTTTGATTGAGTGCATTATCCCATGCTTGTGGATTGATTGTCGTTGTGGGACATCTGGTTGCAAACATTAAGCAGTTATTTTCAGAAAGGATAAAGTATACTTTCGTTACTGAAAAAAGAGGGGAACTTCCTATGAATTGGGATCTTCTCCTCACACTGACTTCACAGCCACATCCCACCCTATATTAGAAACATATCCCCATGAATAATAAATACAAGTACAGGAAATGTTCCTGATGTATGGCCAGGACATGCTGTGAAGTTGGTGTGAGGAGCAGATCCGGACTCACCTCATTCATATACAGTGGGGAGGTGTACCGTATGAGCATACACAGAAAATATTGCATGTATTAGTTTTTATGGAATGCTAGAGAGAATAATTTTTTCCTATGTGGACATCTCCATTAAGTTTCCCAAGTATCATATTCAAAGGCGTAAATTCTATCCTGTTACCCTGTCTTATTTATTTATTTTGTAAATTCTATGACCTGTCTTATTTCTCTCCATATAATGGTTAGATAATGTATAAGAAGCCATTACCTGATGTATTGGTACCCCAAGGTAGTATATTTTAGCTCTCTATTTGTTCATTTAACCCCAAAAGGCAATAAAATAATTCAACTCCTTTATTACAATAAAATAATTCCTTTATTACTCTCACTGAATTTCCTTTTTTTGTTACCACTTTAGAATTTAGATTATAACTTCTGAAAACAAAAATTTCAGAGTTTAAAGGTAAGTTCAACGATATCTAATATTATTGTCAAAAACAATGTTTAAAATACTGTGTAGTATTGATCATCCAACCATAGGAAACATGTTGGAAATGTCTGAAATGTCATGTTGGCAACATTGTGAAATATGTAAGAATATAGAAATGAATCAAATGATATTCTATGAAATGATAAAGGAAGCATAAGCGCATAGAAATTAAGGGGTCATTCTTTTGGTCTAATTGGACCTCTGAAGCCTGAAAAGTAACTTGCTTCTCAGACTTTAGACCATTTCGGAAGATTGTTATTAAGGCCCTCTTATGTCTAATCTTGCTGACAAGTGTAATTTATTCCCATGTAAATTTACTGTATTGTCCTTATATTATTTTGTTCATATTAAAATAATTAAAAACAAATAAAAAGTATTAAAACGATCAAATATTAAAAAATAATATTAGCGATTAGCAACTAAAAAATGATAAATTATTACAGAAAATACTAATAATATTATTTAATAATAACACGTTAACAAAGTATTATTAATAAGTCTAGTAAATTATTAAAATACTATTAATAAATTAGAAAAATATGAAAAAATATTAATGTATTAATAAAAACATTAATATTATTTAAAGTATTGAATAATATTAAAATGCCAGTTATGATTTCATTAATCTGAATGTATTACTACTTTCCAATTATCTTATTTATATTAATATATTAATATATTCCTAATTTATTATTTATTATTTATATTTTATTAATAATTATTTTTATTCTTTATTAACCTTTTAACATTCTATTAATATTTTCACATTTGTTGTTATTTTAATAATATTTGATCTAAAAATATTTTTATTATTATTACTTATGTTTTATTAATATTTCATGTATATTTTACTATCTTATTATTACCTTTTAATTATTTCTTTTACTTTTCATCGATTTTCTGTTTTCTTAATTGTTAAATGGTTAACTAATCCCTTTTATAATATTTTATATGTTAATTTTCATTAATTCATATACGTTATCTGATTCAACTATAGGGACAAAATGGTTAAATATTAATTCTTAAAGCATCATTTCAAATTTTCGAAGTACTTTTTTTCAGGGTTTTTGCTTTTGAGACATCAATCTTCAATGCGACAGAACAATGCCTATGGTTAAAAGGCAACACAACATGCTACCAAGTTGTTTTGTAAGCTTTAAGAATTGAATCTTAAAACTACATGATAGTGCGAATCCAATCAAAATTTAAACTCATAGAAAGTGTAAATGATTCTAATAGATCAACCAAATAATCTATTATGCTCAAAGTGGTACTCATATGTCATGTCCATTAGGCTGACAATAATGCTACTGCTCTACATCTACAATAGTGTCACCAACTTATATTACCATTTCTTGTACTCCACATGGTTTTCGTAGTTTTCATTGGGGAATATGTTGATTGACTTGATTCCAGTAATATTTTGTGTTGGTATCTATGCAAATGGAAAAATGCAGTGGAAATATGAGGAAATATATGGGCATTTTAAACCATGACTAAAAAAGAAAATGCATAGATTTATCAAAAAAAAAGAAAAGAAAATGCATTGCATCATTTGTTAATTATACAAGTTGGAAAATGGTTGGTTAGTCATTTTCTTTTCATGAACACAATGAGACAGTTTTGCATTATTTATGTTGTAAGTGGTGCTTCCTAATGCTATGTGTCTTGAAATTTTTTGATTCCTCCATGAGGTATAAAATATCTAGCACTGTTATGAAAAAAGAAAATATCTTGCGTTTGTTAAGTGTACAAGTAACAAGTGGTTGTTTAGTCATTTTCTTTGCATGATCACAGTGAAACATTTGCAGTATTTCCTTGCCATCATTATATTCAAGTGATTCTTCCTCATGCCATTTGTCTTGAAAACACTCACAAGTGGATGAGGTTTTGAGAAGGGTGCTTGGTTCCCTGTATATGTGGTTATCCTTGCTACATAAATTCAAGGGAACTGCTTTTGACGATATTTTATCTATTTATGCTAGGTGATCTTCAATTAGTTTCACTGTTTTTATTATTCTATTCATACACTTCCCGTTTGTACAACCCCTCACTTCTAGTTGACCAAATTCTTTAATTGGACCAGAGCCATCTTTTACTAAACAAAGATACTTGCATGAATTCCTAACATTTGAATTTAAGGTCCTAACATTCAAGTGTCATGATGAAGGGTTAAAGATTATACTTGCTTATGTTGGCATACCCCATCTACACCAAACAATGATAGAAGCCAAATCTAGGGATTTGCAAAGAGTGCACCAGTTTGGAGAAATATATAGGAAGGGTCTTCTCTTTTGTAGGTTATCCATCGTGCTTACTTTACTATGCCACACTTCCCAACACAAAGCCATTACCTTGGGGGGAACTGGTAGGGGTGTAAATGGATCAAATTGGAATCAGATTAGGCAATATCCGAATTCGAATCCGATTAGAAAACCCGATATCCGAATTTGATTCGATATTCAATGGATATTGAAAATTAATATCCAAATTTGAATCCGATTAAATATTCGAATATTTGATTTGAACTCGATTAATTAATTATTTTAGATAATTAATAAATATATAAAATAAATATTTTATTGATATAAAGTATATAAATATATAAATTATTTATTTAAATTAATTATTGTATATAAATTATATAAAATATTTTATATATTATATATAAGAATTAAATAATCGATCGAATTCAGACATTTATCGAATCGAATCAGGTCATATCCGAATTCGACCGATTAGATATTCGAATTATCTGAGTTTGATTTAATTATGTTGAATATTGAATTCGAAATCAGATTTTTGAATACCATTGACACCCTTAGGAACCGGCCTACACTAGACTTCTTTGGAAGGGAAACTTTGTTGAGAGGAGGTTTGGCATAGGAAATTAAAAAATGAACCACAAGAAAAAGACCCATTAGAGTGAATGAACCAAATCCTCTTATCAGGCTTCAAAGAATCCAACCAAACCTTATATCGAAGACCAAGAAGAGCAAACAAACAATCAACTTCAACCTCCCTTAACCCTCTATGAAAACCAAAATCCCAAGACAAAGACGCCAAATTTAAAATTGAAGGAATTTTGAAATCACCTCTTTTTCATACAAAGAAATAGAGTACAAGGATGGAAAAAGGTCTTTCAAGAGAAGATCTCCAGCCTAGATGTCCTCTCAAAACTGAATAGAATTACCAGAACAAGCAGCATACCTGATACAACTGAGGAATTGCGAAAGAACTTTGTGAATTGCTTTCCATGGTGTTTCTAGGTTAGCCCTCCTTGAAGCATCAGCATCCCATCCACTCTCTAAGCATCCATGAATACTCTTGACCCCCTCATTCCACAACCTATCTCGCTCCATAAGCCACCTCCACAACCACTTCCCTAACAAAGCTGAATTCTTTTTAAGAACATTCCTAAGCCCTAATCCTCCTTTCTCTTTGCTTCTACCCACAACCTCCCAACTAATTAAGTGGTCTTTTTTACCTTCTCCTGTTTCCCAAAGAAAATCTCTCATCAATTTTTCTGTTTCTTCGCTTCCCTAGATGGTATCCTAAAGACAGAGAGGTAGTAAGTAAGTAGGTTCCTAAGGGTAGCTCTTATCAAGGTTCTTCCCACCCAAAGAGATGTAATTTTTCTTCCACACAGTTAATCTCTTTTCAAACTTCTCTATAACTAGGGTCCAAAACCTACTCTCTATAGGGTTTGTCCCTAATGGCAGCCCTAAGTAGGACAAAGAATAGAAATGGAGCACCGAAGACAATCTGTAATAGCCTCAATCTCCTCAAAGTCCATATTGACTAGGGGTGCAACTTGGGCGGGCCCAACCTGAGCCCGAACTGGCCCAGCCTGAAATTTTACACAGGTTGGGCTTGGATTTTTGGTCCTCGAGCCCAAGAAATCGGGCTTTTCTATTTTCCGGGCTGGGCCCGAGCCTAGCCCTTAGGTAGCCCGAACACGAACCGAGCCCGACCCAACTATACACATATGTATATATATGTTAATTACGCATACATATTTACATATATATACATACACATTTTGCATACAAATATACATAAATATATGTATAATTTTAGGGTGGCTTCATTGAC